AATGGTACAGTCAGTCAATTTTTCACGCAACTCTCACGTGCTTAGACGTTTCCTAGCAATAAAATTCGCTTTTAGCTACCTTGGGCTTTACCCCATTGCGCGTCAACTCCCTGTAAACAACCTGCATTTTATCACGTATTTCGCACGCACAGGGCAAAGTCCAGAAAGGCAACAATCAATTAAGAAGCCCGCGTTGTTATGCTTTTTTCTTCGTTTAGTCCATTTTCACTTGTTCGAAGAACGGAGACCGGAAAACTTCTTTGTCCAATGGCTGCTGGACAAAAAAGACGTTTGGACGTCTTGTAAGGACATTTGACTTCCACCCATCCGTAACTGCTCTGTGGTAGTGGCCAACTCGAAAGCTTGGCTTCTTTGGCTACTACACACTTTCCACTGCTTTGTGTAAATTCGTGTATAGTTAGAACTCTTTTTTTCTACTTTTCTCTTTCTCGTTGTTGTATTTTTTAGTAGAATAAGTGTGAATAAAGAATGAATGAATGAATGAATGCTGGAGATAAAATAGAGGTTTCCATTGAAAAATTATGTGGAAGAATATTCTGAGGCGACTATCCGTTACTGAACAAGAGGCCACACGGAGCCTATATTCTGGCCGGATTTGCGGCTCAGCGGATTGAATTGAATTGGTTCGAATTGAAGGCGTTGCTGTTTTAGCAAAATCACTGTCAAGTGCTTTTCATTAGTTAACAAGGCGAGTTCTGGAGATTAAGACTTTGGAACAAGTTGATGCCATCCATGACAATTTGGAAATAGTAAAATCGCTAGAGGAGATGTGGGGTCGCTCGATAAAAATTTGCTTTTGAACGCGATTACTTTGTTTCTAAGGATTTCTCCCGCTTGCATCTAATAAACCTCTGAAGTTTTTCGTGCCCCGGAACGATATATCACTGAAGGTATTTTATGGACCGCAAGTTTTTTTGACTGATTGATATTTAAGGTATGTGGCAGTGCCTTACACAAGTTTAAATTTTTGTTAGAAAAGTATAGTTGTTTTGTCCGCCATATTAATCTTAATAGATCCAATCGCGAAGGGTTACAGAAGACAATCGTATTAATTAATCGAATTTAACAATCAGTCAACGAACTTTTACTGATTTCAAGGGTTCTTGTGTTCGTCAGTACGATAATAATTGAAGTGATTTACAGTTTTAGGTTTGTGCTTTAAAATAAATATATTTAAGCTCGCTCGAAAGCTAAGTTTAAACTGTAACAAGCTTGGTTATCGGCCCAGCATTTTAAGCCTGACTGACACTCGATGCCAAAACTCAGCCTCGTTCCACCACATTGCTTTACGTCTATTAAAAAGTGCTACGTAACGCCTATTGTGCATTTTTCTGCACAGGAAAGACCAAACGGAATTACTGATTGTGGCCCTTTACGCCAGAATAATAATTACGGTTTTGTCTCTGACGAAGAGGCGGCAGTAAGCATTATTATAGCCTACGAGCAGGTCGTTGTTTGGTCTTGTCACGCAACGTTGGCGAGAGAGCGTTGCGTGACGATTTCAAATTAGGGCCGTGGAAGGGACCGCTGGAAGCATGATGTCAATGCAGTTTATTATTGCCAACAATTATTCAGACACCAGGATCAGTTACTAAGTGTCCCATTTCAACCCACATATCCAAAAAAATAACTCCTGCATGCGTAGCATGCGTATGTTTTTTGTTTGTGCTTGTCAGCCTGGATTCAAAGGCAAAAGAAACTGATTTGTTTTTAATGGTGACTGAGAGTATTCCTTCTGAAGTTTTTCTTACTACATCCATTCATTATTGGTAACCCCATAATGCAATGGATGAACAAGTGTTCAAATAAATAAGCAAATGAATCACTCAATAGAAATATTAGAATTGTCCTGCTTCACCAAATGTTTAGAAACATGATTACCTTCTAATAATATTAATTTAACCGCGGTTACGATTTATTTTCTCTGACCATAAAAGCCGCAACGGTGGTGTTGTGGAATGGCGGAAAATGACCCCATATCCTAAAACACGGAACGGCGGAAAATGACCCCAAATCCTAGAACACGGAACAGCGTAAAATGACCCCAAATTCTAAAACATGGAACGGCGGAAAATGATCCCCAATCCTGAAACACGGAACGGCGGAAAATGACTCCAAATCCTAAAACTTGCAATGGCGGAAAATGACCCCAAATTCTAAAACACGGAATGGATGTCAGGGCGTGTTGCACGAATTTTGTACAAAGACACTCAAGCGCTTGGCTTATTCATCCTCACGAAGATAACTCGCGTGACTAAAATTAAGTGATTAATTTTTTTTTCTTTTACTGATTGGTATGAATAATAATCTGCTAAACAAATAGGTTAAATAGCCTCTTTTTTGTCCAGAAAGTTTATTTCTTTCGCTGATATGTAAACCGTAAATTTAATTGTAGGATGGTGGTGTTTTCGACACCTGGTCGCGAAGAAATTCTTCAAATTCTTCTTGACGGCTTCCTTCTGCTAGCTTTCTTTTGTCTTTTCACGCGATGAGAAATTCCCACCCGTGTGACCCCCTGCAAACCTCTCTTCACCCAGTGTTACTCAAGGCCCAAAACTTATTCGTCACGAAGAAACGCTAGTATTGAAGGGCTCCTTACGAGGGCTTGCTCTCACGCTAGTCTAAGTTTGGAGCTGGGGCTGAACGTCGTTATATTTTGAGAAGCCTGAAAACGTTCCTGTGATGTTCTCACATTTACAAGCGTTTGAGATATTTTTGTTTCATTAAATCAATGCAGACGTGACCAGGAAACGTATCAAAGTTACCATTGTTTATTGTAATGTGGTATGACAAGTTAGTTTTCACACCCTGTGTGACTTTTTGTGCCACGACTAAAACTCATGGCAAATTAAGCATAACAAAAGGTAACTAAACAGGTTTATAACGCGAAAACGCTGCTATCTTTCATTTATAAAGGTTCATTATTATTCATACCAATCAGTAAAGGAAAAATAATTAATAAAACTTAATTTTAGTCACGTGCGTTATCGTCGTGGGGATGAATGAGCCAAGCGCTCGAATGTCGTCGTACAAAATTCGTGCAACATGCCCTGACATCCATTCCGTGTTTTAGAATTTGGGGCCATTTTCCGCTGTTCCATGTTTTAGAATTTGGGGTCATTTCCCGCCGTTCCGTGTTTTAGGATTGGGGTCATTTCCGCCGTTCCATGTTATAGGATTGGGGGTCATTTTCCGCCGTTCCGTGTTTTAGGATTTGGGGTCGTTTTCCGCCATTCTATCGTTCCACTGTTCCGGTTTTTAGGGTCCCCCATCTGGGGGTAGAGTAAGTGGTGAACTACAGATTTGCCGTAGGCCATGTAACCATGCAAATTAAAGGACTACACTGCTTAATTAGTTGTTACTGTGAAACTAAGAAAGCCAGAAAAACTTTGATTTGATCTTTCGGGACCTATTGCTGCTGTTTAGTTGTGTTGAGTTGCAAGGAAATTGCATAAGTACATGTATTTCTGAAGTTTACAGTTTCTGGGTATGACAGTAACAGTGTGGACAAAATACTTTTGTTCCCCTGAGAATAACAAAAAGTAGTCCTTTGTAAAAGTTTATCAGCATTCTGATTTTTTCCGAAGATGAAAGCTGCAAACACGAGTCCATAGTAATGTGTAATATAGTATAACACAATTCATAGAACTAAACAGGCTATTGACCTTCGAAACCATGGTATACCGCAGTTTCGCTAGGAAAAGTGTTGCATACCGGCATAAAGGCATTGTATGACAAAGGGAAAAGATTTGAACTTCCAGCGAAATAAGAACAAGGGTAATCTGGCTGGAAGAGTACTGCTGGAAGACACCTTAAAACAGTAAATATAGCCTTTCAAGAGATATTTTCATCCTGCTACAAAAGCTTAACTAAGAACATATGTTCTAAAATTTGTATTATTAACTTCTGCATCACCAGTAAGCCACTTTTGAAGCTCTAGCTCCCTCATTTGAAATGTTTTCCTCAAAAGCGACGGCCTCTTCCTCGGTTGCACGTGGCTTTACTTCTTCGTCGCTTGTAGCACAACATATCCAATATTTCTCCTCAACACTACAACAATAATTCATGGGCCCCTCATGGGAAGAAACAGAAAGATTACTGTCGTTGAAAATAAAGAACAGCGACGATTTTCGATCAAGATCGCCACTGAATTTACTATTTACTTCGACAGAGCTTCGATGAAAGGAATAATATGATGTCACAATGGGGAAAGACGCTGAAAATTATCGTTGGCTCAGTAGTTGTAGTTTGAGTAATGGCGGACGAAGTTTAGTGAGTTTTAATCAAAAAATTTTTGGACTTTTCTCACTACGATATGTCTGGATTGTATTTTTCTTTTCGTTTAGGATCGAAACTTAAATTATCGGCCTAACAAAATTTGTTTTGAAGAACATCGATTTTTGTCTCAGTAGCACTTTAAATTTGAAGATTCCTTGAACTTAGCTTAAGGTTGTGAGTCTTGCATAGTTTCCCATCAATCTCTAGTTTTCTAACACGACCCAACAAGCTTGTGGCTTTGATTTTCACTTTGTATATACTCACTTGTAACAATGTACACACCTAAAAGCATGATCAATGAAGGATGAGACCCAACAATGTTAATCAGTGATTCACTTGATACTCTAGATAGAGAGGCTTTGTAGAGAGAGGGGAATTATCAGAGATTTTTAAGGCACAAACGAGTTGACAGACCACTGGCTAAATTGATGGGGGAGACTCACCTGTATTACAACACAAGTATCCCTTGCTCCTGATGTAGCTATACTCTCATCCACTTTTCCTACAGTCACTACAATTTTAAAGTTGACGCAAGTGGCAACTTCAACCTTTGAATCTAGATTATTGTTGCTGATTAAAATTAGTCAAGGTAATTGGTTATATCAACTGAGTTAAAATAGTAAATTAGCCACCGTAACGAATAAAAAAGCTAACGTTTAGTCAAGCTTTGATTGTATATTTTCTGATGTTTTTTTCCTTAGTCTGGCCAAACTCCACTCTTAGTAGCAGTAAAAAACGGTTACAAATGCATCGTGGAGCTACTTATTAGAAATGGAGCTGATACTAACATGGCTGATTTGGTAAGTGAAAAGGTGAATTTTACAGCCAAAAAGAGTTGAGTGAGAGTTGCCAGGTCAGATAATTGAAGGCATGAGAACATTTTTGCGGATCCTCAGTCACCTTTAATGTGAAAAAAGTAGCCCATCTATTTGAGGTAGGAGTAGTTCTGGCCTCTTTTGCTACAGAATGCACGCTGATGGCCCTAGGGAACATTTCACAAGTATGGTGCAGGAAACATGCAGCTTTTGTGAGAAAAAAGACGAATTAAAGTATTATAAAAATATATATAACATGTGCTGCGATTTGAGTTTCCAAAGAAAAGCTATCCTTTTGAAAATTTTTGCCAAATGTGGTAAAAAATAAAACTAAGCCGACATTTTGAATTTCGGCTGGCAACCCACCCGTTTACCAGAGACATTACAGACCTCAGCTTGGAACATGGCAACTACCATGGCAACTGTATTAAAACCGATAACCAGAACAGCTCAACGGATAGAGCACTGGACTGTTGTGCGAGAGGTCGAGGGTTCAAGCCCCGGCCGGACCAACACTCAAGGTCTTAAAATAATTGAGAATATGCTACTTTTCTATAACATCAAGAAATATTCTAGTCTTCTCGGATAGGGACGAACAAATGGAGGTCCCGTCTCCTACAGGGTTAGGGGTAGGAGACGTTTATTTCCCACGCACGAGATTACTGTGTGATGGATGTCCTCCCCTGGGGTGGGATGGGTGGGAGGCAGCACAAAGCGACACGAGATAGCAGTGAAATGACAAAGAAAAGTGTTAATGAAACAATAAATATTATCAGAAGTGAAAAAGACTTAAATATATTAACTCCAAACATGCAAAAAGAAAAGATGTCGCACTTAGAACTTACACTCTGAACTTGCGTTCTCAGGCCAGGTTCACTCTAAATCCTAATTTTACCTTAAAATTTTTTATTACTCAAGTAATGTAACAAGACTTTTTCCACAAAGCTAATGACCTCACTCAAAAGTATATGGCTCTTTTTGTTCAGGTTAACACTTCTCCGATAGAACTATGGTTATTGGGTGACTTGTAGGGATACAGGAATCATGACATAAAGTGGCCGGAAATTATACCACAAATTATATTATGTTTGGATGAGGACGCACATGTATTTTTAAAATAGCCATGTAAATGGGATACCTTTGATGTTTATATTCATTTTTCTTCGGACTCAGTAATTGATTCCTACTCTTAAATTATTTTACATGTTCTGATAAAGTCCTGTCGCAGTAGCAACACGGTAATTCTTTCAGATGGCATTTCGCTAGGTAAGTGCGTTTGTGTCAACCAAGTTTTCAGTGGTTATTGTTCATCTTTCCACCACCAAGCAGTGCAGTTTTGCTTCTGTTGCTGTATTTTTTTTTTTTTTTTGCACTACTGATAGTTTACACTGATTTTTAACAGACTTGAGTGCATTTTTTTGTTCTTTTAATACACTTAATCGTATGATGCTGAATTTACGTAGCAAGAAAACTTCTCCCCTAAAGTAATGGGTCAATAACATACAACAAATGTCATAATTAGGTATACCATTTCCTATCGTGGCTTACAGCAATTTTGCTCTTGGGCAAGACTCACAATTTGGCTCTGATGGATCAGCGTCTCAAGGGTTACTATTCTGAAATACTGTTGAAAATTGGTTTTGATCTTGCTTTGATATATTTATACTAGGGGAGAAAAACTCGACCCTACCTTCAGTGGAAGGTGATGCAGTTGTCTCCAGATGCTCTGCCCATGGCTTCCCTTCACCATCAGCCGCTAAACATAACATTAGGAACATTGTTGCAACAGCTTTGGAGTTTGAAGCGGATCACCATGAATGCGAGCGTGTGTTAACGTACACAGATAATGATCGTACAAAGGTCCATTTGTATATGCAATGTGGTACGTCTGGCATTCCCCAAGAATTGAAAGATACAGCTCGAAAATCCTTCACAGATATGGACGTGGACCTCGAATGGTTTGATCTCCACAAAGATGCTAACGAAATTCGAAAGGGTAAGTCCCTTGAATATCCACTTGGCACGCCGCTAAGATTAAATGATTCTCAAATTGATCAAATGAACAAAACAATAAAGGAAAACCTTCATTTACTTGCGGGGCATCGTAATATCACTGCTGTGCAACCCTCTTTAAAGATAACAAACTCTAAACAGACAAAGACCCCTTGTATTACGCTCTACGTTCTCCGTAAAGGCCACATCCCAGATGGTGAGTGTGCATTTCCTCCCATTTTTGCTTCGTACCCCGTTGATGTTGTGGATGGATTGTGGCTCAGAACTGGTGACCCATGGACACCAAATGAAGCACAGGAGCAAAGCGAGGTTCTTTGTTTGGGAGCAAGTATTGGCGTTAAAGAGGAGTATGCAGCCGGGACCTTGGGTGCCATTGTGAAAGGCAATGAAACCTTTTATGCGCTATCTTGTAATCATGTCATGAAACACAGCGAAAAATCTGAAATTGTTCACCCTGCATGGAATGACCACCGGAACTATCTGAATTACCACCTACAGCAGTATGGAGAACGGGTAAAGGACATCCTTGATCCAATCAGCCTCTGCGCCCCTAACAAAGCGTTTGAATTTTCATTGTATACAGACTTAGATGAAATGTCAGCCAAATTTGAAGAGCTGAAACAGATCAAACAAAGGAATCTTAAGAGTTCTAGGGCAACAGAGAGGAAACTATCCTACGTGGATTTCCATGAAAATGCCTTCAGGAAAGGCCACACCTCACCCAGAGTCATTGGAAGGTACACTGCTGGTGTCTCTGGTAATGTGACATGGACCGATGGTCAACAATACTACATTGATGCTGCTGTTGCTGAGTTGAAACCAGATGAAGTAATTAGTTTACACGAGAGTCAGACAGCTGAAATGATTGGAACAGGGTACTGCCCAGGTGACGTAGTCCAAACTGGAGGGGCAGCTACTGGGCCGCTATGCAAAAGTGGCCGAACAACTGGATTCACTGATTCTGGTTGTCACTCAAAGTCATCATTGTTCACCAACTCTGAGTCATACAAAGTGACAGACGAAACCAGGCAGTTGGCCAATGTGTTGAAAACCGAGGTCAATATCTGCACACAGTGTGCTGATTTGTCTGGACTGAGACACTTGTTTTCTGAAGAGGATATCATCAATTATTCATGTGGATTCTGTGAATTAGATCTAGAGGGTCTGAAAGACCATCTCTGGTGTAAGAATTGCCTATGCATAGACAATCAATATTCTGTCCGTTCACGTCCAGGGTTTACTACCAAAGGAGATTCTGGAGCAGTGCTTTTTGAGAGATTTGAAGATGAAACTCTCTGTGGTTTTGGAATCATTTTTGGTGAGTTGCAGCATTCATATGGGATTTATTCCTTAGCCTCACCATTACATATTGTTCTTGAAACCTTGACAAAAATGATCTCACAAGAAGAGAATTTCAATTTGACATTAGTGTCTAACTATACGAGTGATGTTTGAATTTACGCACAACGATGGAAAAGAACACAAGTCTTTTGGCAGCATCATTTCCATGTACCAAAGTAACTCTAACGGTCATAACAACTGACATAGATGAAGGAGGGAAATGTTGTAACTACTGTAATCTTTAAATTAGTAGCCACTGCAACAACATCAAGACCCATTTCGCTTGGTTCCTATTTTTGTTAACTGGGAGATTTTTCAAGATCACTCCTAGATTTAATATACCTTTATGTGGCTGCTGTGATGCTAATTTGCCTGCTCCCATAGTCTAGAGACCAATGTTCATTTACTTTTATTTCTCATTTATTTGTTTCTCCAAACCTTGGCAGAAATAAATACTAGGTGAAAAATAATGTAAGAGATAAAATTTCCAAAGAAAGAGAAACTTACAATACAAAATTACACTAATTAAACTAAGACACTGTTCATGGGAGGGAGAGGAGAGGGGCACGTCTTGGTAAACTAATATTGTGCTCCTTAAATCACTCCAGTATAACAAATAAAAAGGAACTTGTAATTTAAAAAGTAATGGGAAAAACTTAAAAAAAAAAAAAAAAGCTCCGTAAAAGTGTAAAAGTGCTTTTCTAAACATCCTTTGAGATGGTTTGTCTTTAATTAATTGCGGAACACTATTCCAAAAAAATCATCCAATAATGCTCAGGCATGAGATAAGTTCAAAATGAGGGTATGACTACTTGATTAGATGGTGCAGTGCTTAAGTAAGATTGGAACCAATTATTTTCGCTTTACTATATTCTGTAATATTGAAGCTTATTAAGTAATATTTGATGAGTTACTGTGTCGAAAGCCTTACTTAGGTCTAAGAACAAAAGACCACATAGTGTCCTTGTTCAAGAGAAGAAGTTACTTCAATGTGGTCAACTAGACAGTCAGAGGTTGTGTAACCTGATCTAAATCCATATTGTTCAATGGAAATCATGTTTTATTCGTAAGATGAGACAAGAGCAATGTTGTTCTAAGCCTCCAGATATTGTAGCCTTTTCCAATTGCAAGACTTGTCTACTGAAGACAATAGTTTAGAAGGCTAATCGAGTGTAATAGTTCGCATATTATGCAAAATTATTTTATTAAATGATATTTTCTAATAATATTCTGTCTTTGCAAAGTTATGATTAATTGGGTTTAAGAGGGTACATTCCTTATTTGTAATTCACGATAAAACGAAAATCCTTCATTACTTTTAAAACAATTAGCCAGCAAGGGGCATTATGCATTGTGGAAATTAATTCAACAAGGTAAAGTGAACAAAGCAAGATAAGTCGATATTACAAATATATACCATAAAACATATCACGGTGACTTCAGCTGGAACAAAACAGCGTCACTACAGTATGAAAGCAAAAGGATTTTTGGAGCGGTAGAACTAACCTAAGGACAAACGTTCGATTGCCTCCACCCTCCAGACCCTTATTCTATTTAGTTTTGATTGGCTATCCCCTGATACGTTTCGAGCCCACTCACTTCCGCCTTTTCCACATGAGATGTCTGTTAAGACGAGAGGACCTTACAACGGCAGGTCGAAGGAGGAAAATCGAGAGGTTACTAACTTTACTTAACACTAATACACACCAGGGAACTTTACGTTAAATCAATGATCTTGCCTCTTGGATTATGGGAACATTGTGTGGGGAGACAAATACAACAAAACTCTATGGGCTAAAGTCCAGTTATTGCAAGGCAAAGCCGCTAAATTGATCCGTAACAAAGCTAAACACTTCCACAACAGAGGCAATTAATGAGCTTGATTGGCTATTTTTATCAGAAAGGCGACGGCAACACCGTCTTTCTTTTGTATTTAAATGCATGCATGGGCTGATTAACTGGAATATTAATTTTACGCACTCAAGGGAAATACACCATCGTAACACTTGGCACAAAGACAACGTTCTTTTGCCCAAATCTCGGTGCCAGTGGGGGCGACGAAGACTGACTTATCAAGCGCTATACGAATGGAACAGTTTTCCAATGTTCCAAACTCTGAAGTGAGACACTTTCTTTCACATTTTCTCTGCATGAAAAGTAATATAACTCCTAACGGCCACAAACTGTCACTACTAGACTTCAAAGTTACCATCTCTAAAGACGGCAAAATCTCCTTTGAGTTTTACACGAAAAAAGCTAAAAAGCCAGTGTTCGTACACCATCAATCGGCTATCTCAAAGAAAGCCAAGACCAACTTCATTCGCAACGAGCGGAAACGTATTCATGACCGACGCTCCACATAAACTACAAACGCAAAACATGAAGGTGCGTTTGACGAAATCCTGCGCCTAAACGGATACTAAGAGAGATACATACACCACTCAAAATAACCCCAGAACCGTAGCATAGACTCTCCCAACACAGATAAGAAAAAAGTGGTCATTCCTGAAGATTCCCCTACATCTCCGAACGGCTAGACCACAAGATCACCAACATCGTCCGCAAAGAGGGAATACCTGTGCGCATCGCCCACAAGTCATACACCCCGGCTCAGAAAAGCGCTCTCACAAAATCACGGAGCGCACATGCACAAGAGACAATTACTCCATCGCACATACCAACCTGTGTTTCTTGAGAAACGCTGTTTACCAAATTACATCCTAAAACTGTAACCGAGACTTCATTGGGAGCACCACTCGCTCCACCCACGCCGACTGTGTGAAAGAACATCTCAGAAGCGTAAATTCATCCGTAAACAAACATGTCGCTGTATGCCAAGGCAAGGACTACAAAGGCATTGAAGTCAAAATCATTACATTAGAAAACTACCCGGTAAACCTCCGCCTATTCGAAGCGTTTTACGTAAGGAAAAACAAACCTACACATAACTCCCGAGAAGATTATATTGAATTCGCGGACCCATTGTTCTAACGCCTCCCATAGCACACCAGATCCTCTCACAGTGACACTGGCTCATTAGTATAGTGACACTTTTCTCCCTTTTATTCGGCCCTCGCGGAATATTTTATCTTATCCGTCCCTGATGATGCCGTTGAGTGGCGAAAGCTCGGTCTTCTACAATATCTCACAATATTTTACAGTAATTCAAGGCCACATTAGTGTTTTTATTGTTTTACCCAAAATGTTACCGAAGGACAACATTCAAAGTTTCTGTAGACCTGTTGAAGGTGCAACTTTTGCGATTGACAAACCCTAATGGAGTGCGACACATATTTGCCAAGGTATTACCAGTTTATGGTAGGAAAAGTCTCCAGAATGTTGTGCCCAAGAGTCTATAAGAGCTCCGTTTCTGAATGCAAAGCTTGGGCGTTAAAATTCTGTCGCGGTCAGTCAGTTGACGAAAGACAGTGGTTACGAGGACAGAGTCGCACGCGACGTTCGAATTGGATGTGTCACGCAGGTGTTCTAGGTATTTTTCGTGCAATTTGGACCGGGACAGGACACAAATGTGAAAATAACCACATTAAGAACCTTAAGACCACTCTGAGAGCTCTAACTCACGCTATGTCTATTTCACAAAGTATGATGCGAGTTCTCGACGGAAAAATTGTGTATTTATTCAAAATTACTGATCAGATGAACAGCAAACTAAACTTTTTGTCTCAGGATTTAAAAATGGTTCAAAGTACCTTTAATGACTGGCAGAAACAGCTAGAAAAATTTTCCAATTCAGCCAAATGCCGCGATGGAATGACAGCTCAAGTCCAGGATGGTAAAGAAGTANTTTATACCAGTTAGACACTGAATTAACCTAACTTATTATTATTATTGTTATTATTATTATTATATTATTACAAATATATATAGGTATGTGTAGTGTTTTTCTTTTTTGGGTGACCTTTTGTAAGGGAACCCTTTCCTGTTTCTTGGCCTTCCCCTCAGCCTTGTATATATGTTAAGCTTGTTGAGAAAATGATTAAAGTAAAGTAAAGTAAAGTAAATCGCATCATTTTACGCTTGACTGAGTTTTTGACACATGACGTCAAAGTCTTTCTGTTTTGCATACAAAATAAGATGTAAAAACATTTCTGGTTCCGCTTTTTATTTAAAAACCGGCTCAGTACTGCATCAATAAAATATTTGAATTGACCAAGTCCTGCATTTGGGTGATTCAAATCGAACTCGCACTGCGCGCTCGTTCGATTTTGAAATCACGTGTATGATTTCAGCCCAAATTGCACTCCACTCAGTTCAATTACCATTATTAAAATACAGATGAGATATTTCCTTATAAAATCAACGCTTCACTCCTATATTTCAAATTAGTTAAGGTTGAGTTCAACTTTGTTTACTCGATGCCAAAACATTCCCTGATTGCATTACTAGTGTGGACGATTGGCAGGTTTCATTTCAAGAGAGTATTAAACCTGTAACATATCTCAAATGGCAATGAGGAAAAACAGTGTTAAACATTTGACTATCAGTAATATTCAGTACGACAATTTTCCTTACCGCTTAAAACTCTTTTAAGCGTACAGGTTATGAGAATATAGAAAAGATTGAGTAAGGGATGTAGTATTGATAGAACAGCCACTCCTCGAGAATAACCTGGGAAAAGAGCATATGGTGCTAAATTTTCTTTGGACAAACCAATACCTTCATATTCTAGAGAGTGAGAACATCTTTAAGCTTGAATGAAAAGCTTCATCAAATATAAGAACCACTAGAGGAGACAAAAGGTTAGTTTTCACTTATTGTTATCATTTTTGATAAAGATATACTATCAAACAACATCAAAATTAAGATCTGTATACATATTCTCCAAACCGTTCTGTATTCATCTCCCATGCATGGTGCTGACAAGGAGAATTTGTTTAACAATCGAGAGCTTCTTTAGCTGGTGATCGTTTCCTTTATTCTCCTGACCCTTAAAGTGCATATAAAAGATTTTTTTTAATTTTTATAGGAGCAAGTTTAAGCATTAAAGAACACGAATTTTCCCCCAAAACTCTAATTTTTAAAATTTTAGATGTATTTTCGGTGTTTTGCGTTCGCACTCAGCAGTTCTACCGGGAGACCAAGAGGGACTGGTGACGAATGAGCCTCATCGAGCTGATGACGTAGCGTCCGGGAAACGTTTGGCGCCGGTCGTAGCAAGTGGTAACTTTTCGCTGTGAAAAGGTTGAACTATCGACTAATAAACTGACGCGAATATAACTTCGACAACAAACTTTCTCAAGTATTCTCTCCAGACGAACAAAGATGCTCTTACGGCTGCTACGTCATCAGTCGTCCAGGCTACCATTGAGACCAATGTCCCGGTATAAAAACGACAGGAAACCCAAATAGTCTTTTTTTCTCAACTTTGATAGCCTCAAAAACATACTAAAATTTGAATTTTTGATTTTATTTTTATCAAACCGTATTTAAAGATAGTTACAATTTTCTTAGAAAACATAAAAATCATCGGTTTATATGAACTTTAATGTGTGATTCAGGGGTGATTCAGAGTCTCTTAAATCATAATAATTAAGAACCCATTCTTCGCAATATCCATTTTTTAAACAACTTTAGTTGTTAATAATTTTCAAAAATGTGGTTATTATTGCAATGAGGTTCACTCACTCTCCTGCGAATTGAAGAAATACACTTCTTACCATTAAACTTAACAAAAGGTTCTAGTTAGATAAATTTTCTTTCCTAGCAAGACTACAATCCAAGCTTTGTGGGATATTTTCCATGCTCTCCACAACAAAATACAACCTGCTTAACTCCAAAGCAAGTTTCTTATTGCAATCAGCACTATTCAACAAATGTTAAACACCACAGCGTACACTATTTGAGTTATGGATGCAAGCAGGGGGGTGGGTGATTTTGAAAAAAAATTTCCTCCAATTGCTTGTTGGAAGAAAAAAATTGCATGCAGCCCAAATGTAACAAAAATAAAAGAGCATTTAGAACGGAAAAAAATATCCTGCCCAACAGATTGCTTGAAAAAATTTTCTTGATGACCAGAAATCACCCACCCCCCCTCAAAAGTTAAATTGTCGGCCCCTAAGGAGGGGGACATTGGGATTTGCGGTTTTGGCTATCTCTTAGTTCGGTTTATCGGTTTTTGTGCTAAAAACGTCGGTTTTTTGGTTTTGGTATTTATTGCGGTATGCGGATTTTCCGTTCTTAAGCATTTGGTTTT